GAGACCATTGTGTCATCTCATTATTATTCTTCAAGTGCCTGCAGTTTAGAAGTTACACCATCATATGTACCATACGTACAAGTTTTTATTGTATTATTTATAAAAAAAAAAAATAAATAAATAAACTGTATAAATTGATCAAAAATAAAAATAACTGTTATCAATAAATAAATATCGATGTAGTGTAGATAATAAATACAGAAATTCATTCATACAAAATACTCCACAATTTAAATCCAATTTAACTCGATTTGGGTTCATAAACTTATGTGGTAAATATTATTTATCTATTTACATTATATTTACGTTCTATTTACATTATATTTATATTTACGTTTTATTTACTCCGTGTTTTTCAACCCATGAGACACGGAGTTATAAGTCAGTTTATCACTTAGCAGTTCGGAGTTTTTTTTCATTTTTTTATTTAAATAATTTCTTTCTATTAGAGAATGTTATTGGAGTTAGTTTAATTTACATAATTATCTTATTATTATCAGAGATTATTATTATCAGTTATTATTATTCAGTATTATTATTATTATTATCAGTTATTATTATTGTCGATTATTTTATCGTTATTTTAATTAATCTCAAAATTTTTTAACCCAAAAATTTGAATGAATAAAAATTATTAGTAATTAAATGATAGACTTATCTTAATGTGTACGACCATACATTATGTACGCTAAGGCATTTTTTTTTAAACTTTAACATAGCTTACTAATTATTTATTTATGTTGATCAATTCTTTATTTATTAATTATTTTTTTTTTAAACCAATTATCGAATTTCATTCCGCACTTCTGGTCTTTTTGATGTACAATCTCGTAATCTGACTTTAAATTGTAACATAACAATGAGTGAAAAGAAAAGGAGATGATTCATGATGTTTTTTGTTGTTGACGATGTCGATGCGGAAATTAAAAATATTTTTTTTTCTTTGTGTGTCGTACATATTATACATATTACGCACTCGAGCATTTTTAAAAATATAATAAATAATTAAAGAGTTTAATCATATTCTATATAAACTCATATGCACCATAATGTGTTATCAATTCTAATGTTCCAAGATTACAAACAATGATAACGCTTGCAACGGTAACGGAACTTTTTTTTTTTTTATTTAAAATATATATATATATATATATACCATACTATAAACAAATATATTATATATTATTATTACCAAATAAAAAGATAACTTATTTCCATACACAACTATAACACAACTATAACACAGATTAATTATTGATAAATGTACATCACAATGATACACGACGTATAAACATAAATAATAAATAATAAATAATAATAAATTTAATAATAAAGATTATTATGTCAAATATTATCCGGACTATTATCTTAAATATCAGTAGAGTAGTAGCGGAGAGGAGAAAAAAAAGAAGGGGGGTTTTATTTTTATTTTTATTTTTATTAACACAATGACAATATGATTGATAAAGGAAATTCTTCGATTGGCCCCTTACAAATATCAATGATGATCAATAATTATAATGGTAATATTATATTATTTAATGATATAATATTATTATTATAAATGATTATTCATTAAAATAACGGAAAATGGTAAATAAAATGATTTTTTTTATTCTTTTCGGGATATGCAGGCCGTATATTTCATTAAACATTCATAACATTCATAACATTCATAACATTCACACAAGGAATGAGAGACAATCGAAAATAAAATTTAATTATGATAATTTAATTAAATTTTATTTATTAAATAAGTAATTATATATATATATATTTATTTATATAATTAATAAATTTTTATTTTATATCTATGTATTTTTTTTTTGTTCCAACAACAATGTTAAATGTGTTAAATGCCAGTCAAATAAATTTGATGCATTTAAAATTTTTTATGAAACTAACTAATTTAGAAGGTTGGCATTTGCCTGTCAAGTCTTATGTTTAAATGTGCAATAATAAGTTAATCACACATGGTTCATATAATGTGCCGATTGTCGACTCCCCCTACTTTTTTTTTTCTTCATCTCCATCATCATTTATTCTTTGATTGTTCTTTTTTCTGCATTCATCCACCATTCAGCATCGTCAACATCATCAACATCATCAACATCATCAACATCATCAACATCATCACCATCATCACCGACCATTGTGGATATACTTTTTCTCCTACTGGTTTAGTTTTCTTTTCATTTGAAATTTTCAATTTAATTTTTTAAATTTATCGTTCGCCGAGTTAATTTTATTACCAAATATATTATAATACTGGTTTTCAAGTAAAAGAAGAATTATTAAAGCAAAAAGAAAATAATAAATAATAAAATTAATAATAATAATAATAGTAATAATAATAATAAAAAATAAAATATATCAATTGTCATACATTTATCAGTTACCAAATATATCAACACATATAAGTGATTGAAGCTTCCATTTAAGGTTTGTAATACAAAACTTTAAAACCAGATCTATCGATTGTATTATATAGATTGTATAAAGATAACTTGTATATTAACTTGTATGGATTAAATAAGTTTTTATAGGTTATTTATAAAATTGTATATCAGATGAATAGTTTGTATAATAAGAATGTATAGAATGTTGCATAAATAGTTAGTTAATCACCAATTGAATTTTAGACGTTACGAATCACAAAAAAAAAAACTTGAATTCAACATTTTCCGACATCATTTTTCCGATCTCCAATTTCCGATTCCATTTTGAAGTATGTGAAACGTGGTAATTTGTGTTTTTTCTCCGAAATTTTCATCAGGTTGTTATTTTTGTTGTTTTTTGATTTGTTGATGATATTAACGATACGCTGTTGTTGTTGTTGTTGTTGTTGTTGTTGTTGTTGTTGTTGTAATTGTTACTGTATACCAGTATATTATTAAATTTTATTAAGCTATTTTAACTAACCAAGTGTGGATTCACCTACAAGCATCGGAAAAATCTACTCTTTATCTTATTTTTGACAAAAAAAGGTTCACATAGACAAAACAAAAAATATAATTGGGTAAAAAGACAACTCCAATTCATGATTATTCATCTGAAATTCAATAGCAAGCGGAAAAGAAAACTGAAATTCCCAATTTATAAATTTATACTTTTTCGATCGACATGATTTTCTATGAATCATTGATTAAAAAATTAACATATTCTTTATATTCTTTATATTCATTTCTTCACTTTTTTCACTTCTTTCATTTCTTTCATTTGAAAAATTTTAATTGGTAGATTTTTTTTTCTAAACTTGTTCATCTTATTCATCTTATTCATCTTACCATTTTATTATTATCTTATTCTTATTACATCTTTTGAATTAAAGAGAGACTAGACTTTGTCATTTTTGAATATTCTCCCTTTCTTCTTTCATTATTTCTATTTCTTTTTATAAAAAATTTTGATTTTATGATAAGAATGACAACCAATGAATTTTTTTTATGTAACTTCATATACTTTATATAGTAATAATATATACTTTATTTATATACTTTATTTATACCTTCATACATTTCATATATTTTTATATATACTTCATATTCATATAATACGTACTTGACATCATTTATTTCATTCATTATATAATAAATGAATAAGACGGAGATGGATACTATGATACTATGACGAACTATGAATATCACGATCTTTTGGTTTTTCTTGTTTTTCAGATTTTTGTTCTTCGATGATCCATTTGAAAGATGATAAAATAGGATATTCCAATTTATATATTGGTAAATTATTTATATAAATAATATATTTATATATTAGTTTTTGTTTTTATAATAGAGATCACCGAATAAATCTGTCCAAAGGTAACAAATAATAATAATTGTAATAATAATTTATAATAATAATAAAGAAAAGATAATATAATGATATAATATAATATATCTTACCGGTAATTTCTATAACAAGAAATTTGTTTATGTTGTGTAAAAAGCCACCCACTAATAGTGATAGTGGTAATAATAAATAAACACATATATATACGGTGTTGATTATTCATGATTATTTATAAAATGCAATGTTGTTTATTGTTTTATTATTTTATTATGAAAAAGGGTGGTTATTCATTTTTTTTTATTTTAGTGTAAAAATATAATTTAACGATTTTTTTAATCGGTGTTACAAAGTTACGAAGAAAAAAAAAAAAAAAGCGTTTACATATTTATTTATTTATCAAATTATTATTTATTTATTATTATTATTATTATTTATTATTATTATTATTATTATTACCACTAATTAAATATTCCACTTTTGCTTTATAAAAAAAAAAGGGATTCTTTTTCCCATCTTTCCCCGAATGAGAACAACATTTTATATTCTATTTATTTATATTTGTTGTTAAATGCTAGATTTTTATTAAAAGGGTGTAAATTATTTTAATTAATATTTTAATTAACAATTTTAATTAATATTTTAATTAATATTTTAATATCATTATACTTTCTTACTTTTTTTTATTTTATATTTATATTTTATATTTTATATGCTTACTTTTAATTAAAATTTTATATACTTTAAATAAAAAAAAATACTTTATATCTGCTTTTTTTTTATTTTATTTATATATTCACTATAAATGTTTAGTTTATTTATCAGATAAATTCTATTTAGTATTTTTTTTTCGGTAAACGTATATCATCACACAAATTTCTCATTTATTCTCCCCTTTTTCTTTCTTCTTTACACTTCACTCTTGTTTTTTCCTCTGTTTTTATTGTTCTTCTTAGGTCCCTTAGAGGAGAACAAATTTTTTCATTTTTTTTAGGTTTATTCATATATCGTTATATTTAACCACCGTCTAGCCTTTTTTTTTTCTTGTGATTAAGAAAAAATAATCCATTCGATTATAATAATTTATCAAAGTGTACAAAAATATAAAAAAAAATTTTTTTATATAAAATAACTAATAATAAAAAAATTCCAATTTAAAATAAAATTCAAAAAATTAATAATTAATCAATCAATATCAAAAAAAAAGAAAAGAAATGAGCACACAATTAGTTGAAAGAACACCTTCAATGTTCTCTCTCTCTCCTTACTCATTAAATGACCATCACCACCATCATCACCACCATTCAACTTCAACTCACTCTTATCAACCATATGATCCAATAAATAGTGCGGAACAGAATCTTTATATTTCTGGACATATTCCATCACATCAACATTCATCCCATTCATCATATCCTACTCCATATACTTCTCCTCCTTCAAGAATGAGAACTGCTACTGACTCAAATCCTTCTTCTTCGACTTCCGTCACCACTTCTAATAATAATCTCAACAACAACAATAATAATAATAATAAACAATCATCAAGTAATAATAGTAATAATAGTAATAACAACAACAACAATAATAATAATAGTAATAATAGTAATAATAATAATAATAATATGGGAATGTTAAATTCTAATCTTAATGGAGAAGATAATGGAAGTAGTGTTATGAAAAGAACAAATAAAACTCATGTTCCAAGTGCCTGTATCAATTGTAAAAAAGCTCATCTTGCTTGTGATGGTAAGTAATTTATTTATTTATTATTTTTTTTTTCATTTTACTATTCTTTCATTGTTTCCATTATATTATTTTCTTCCCATTATTTCTTTCATTATTTCTTTCATTATTATTATTTTCCATTTTATTTCTTTCTTGCGTGATTATCACTTTTTTTTGAATTATTTTCTTTTACATATTTCGTTTACGCACATGATCAAGTATTATCATGTGATTATGGATAAGCGTGTCATTAAAAAAAAATATTCAACTTTCTTTGGGTTGACGAAAATCTATAGTCTGTAGTCTAATATCTAATTTAGAGATAAAAAAAAAATTAAAAAAAAAAAGATCGTTGTGGGCTCGAGCGTTTAATACATCTGGATGTTAACGAGATGCACATTTTTTGTTGATTACCTGATATGGATTTAATTTTTATTATTATTATTATCAGTTTATTTAATTCCCCCTTTTTTAATAATACTTAAAATATATATTTTTTAATTTATAATTTTCCCTTTTTGAATTTAATTTTCCGATTTCCTTTTTTAATAATAATAATAATATTATTATTATTATTATTAATGTAATTAATGTTATTAATTATTTGCATTAATTACAATTTTTTCTTTATTTTTATTTTTTTTTCAAAAAATGATATAAACGTAAAAAGTAATATAATATTAATAATTAATAATTAATAATTATATTCATATTTATAATAATTTTTATAGTATCAAGACCATGTAAAAGATGCGTGGCTTTGGGAAAAGTAGATTCATGCATTGATATCAAACATAAAAAACGAGGACGCCCAAAGTTAAAGGATAAAAAACCTCATCCATATAATACTCATGCAACAGCTGATGCTAAAACTTGGGGAGTATCAAACACCCAATTTTTACCACCTAATACAACGAATCCAACCTCTGGTCATCACCATCATCATCATCATCACCTTGACCAACAACAACAACAACAACAACAACCACTTCATCATCCACCACCACCACCAACTCAACATCATCATCATCATCAACATCATCAACAACAACATCATCAACATCATCAATCTCAAAATCAAAATAATCATAATCAACAAAATTCGTATTCATCATTTATACCTTCACCACCTCATTATCATTCACCACCTTCTCGATATCAACAGTTATCATTTAATTATTCACCATTTTTAACAAAATCACCAAAATTTATTGATCAACCATCAACGACGACAACGACAACAATTATGAATTCATCAACATCATCGCCACCACCAACAACAACAACAACAACATCAACATCAACACTATCATCATGTTCATCAAGATTATCAACAGATAATCAACCAACCATTACAATGTTTTTAACTATTGAAGGATTGGAATGTGCTAAAGTATCAGATGAATGTTTATGTATATTGGGATATTATCCATCAGAATTAATTAATAGATCACTTTATAATTATATTACTCTAGAGGATGGACCAAAATTACAAAGATTAATTAATACATTATTAGGTAGAGTTCACCGTTATCCATCATTACCTTTTGTAACATCAGATGATCAAAGATTTTCAAGAATTAATCCAGAAAATTTACAATATTCCGCTTATGGTAGTACCGGAATTGATGTATCTGATATGATTAGTTTAAAGCAAAGAAATGGTCAATATGATTTATATAATGTTCGAATGTATTTAGGTGGTGGATTAGGTGCAAATTTAAATCAAAAAGAAACATGGAATGAATTATATATTGTGGCTCATTTTACTAGAGTTAAACTTGGTAATTGTATAACAAATGATTGTGGTTCATGTATTCAATCATCAATAAGAACAAATGTAATAAATGGAATGAGTGGAATGAGTGGAATGAGTGGAATGAATGGAAATGGAAATGGAATAAATAATAATAATAATAATAATAATAATAATCATCATAGTAATAATCATAGTAATAATAATCATTGTAATAATAATAACAACAATAATAATATTCCAATTCCATTTTCTACTATTGATCCATCATTACTTGCAAGAAGATCCGGGTTGTTAAGTCCAATTTTATCACCAAGACAAGATGTTCAAGGTGGATTATCTGAATTAATAATGCCTCAACCTCCTCCATCAAATCCACAAAATCCAAATGATTATTATAATAATAATAATAGATTATTGTCACCATCATCATCATCATCATCATCATTGGGATCAATCATTTCTCGTCCTAATCCAATAAATCCTTCAAATCCTTCGAATCCAAATTTATCTAATGTTCATCGATCTGAACCATTAATTAATCGACCAGTAACTCCTTCTTTATTATTAATTGATAGTAGACGATCTTCTGCTTTTAGTCCTACTCGATCTCCTACTACTATTTCTCCTCTTTATCAGGATTTAATTGATAACTCCAAATCAAATAATTTTAATAATAATATGGATATTTCATATCATCATCATCAACCACCACCTTTACAACAATTTAATTATTCACATCATCATTCTTCTTCTGCTTCCGTTAAAAATTGTCATATTGTTGATGAAGAAATATCAAATTCAAATTCTTTAATTATTAATGATGAACGTGATGAAAATAATATACGAAAATCTGGACTTCCTGAGGTGACAACTGCGGATTCTACTTCCCCAACAATTATGAGTGTAAATTCGTTATTATGTTAAAAAAAAAATGGATAATTTATAATAATTAATGTAAGAACGGATTTTTACACTTTATTATTATAAGAATAAGAATAATAATGATAACAAATTCTTTATAAAATCTTTTATAATTTTTTGCAATAGTATAGTTGTAGGAGTAATTGGAGAATAAAAAAGAAAGAAAAAGAAAGTTCTATAAATAGCATGGGTTCATATTTCGAAAAAAAAATTTCAATTTTCAAAAAAATTTTAGGGTTTTATTATTTTTATTTTAACACATTTTTTGGCATTTTATTGACATATTTTATTATTATTAAATTAGTTTTGGCATTTTATTTTGGTGGATAATAATTTTTTTTATACATACATACATACATATATATATATATATATATACATAACATATTCTTTATACATATATTATACACTTTGGAGGGTTTTCATTTATTAAAAAAAAAAAAGTTTTGATGTTGTAAAAATTTTTTTGTTTTGTGCGTTATTATCTTTTTGTCACAACGATCTATAAGTAGTGGTGGTGGTGGTAGTAGAAGAAAAGAAAAATTTGAGAATAATTTTAGAAATATTGAAAAATATTTAGAAATAATTAGAAAATAAGTTGAGTGGAGGGGAAAGAAAAATACGTATATATAAAATATATTTTTCATAGTTATTATTATAATTCTACTGATGGAAATTAACACAAATATTGGACCATGTTTATTAAAAATTATCTTTACTCTATCACAATAGTACAAAATGAGATGCTATTACGAATTTTTATTCTGATTTTTATTCATTACTATACAACAAAAAAAAAAAAAAGGAAAGAAATTTTATGCGATCTATACATCAAGAAGAGAACAAGAAGAGACGCAAAGTGTTTCTTTTTTTTTTTTGCATCCCGTCTTTTTTATTATTAATATAACTGTAATGGATTTATATAATATTTATAATATAATGGATATAATGGACTTTTATCAATACATTTCCTTTTTTTCCCTAAAAAAACAACTTTTCTAAAATTTGTATAGAATAAATATAACTATATTTTCTTCTTTTTTTTTTTCTCCTTAGAATTCTTTTTTTTTTTTTACAAACTTAAAATTATTATTATTATTTTTTATTTCTTATTTATTCATTTTTCTGCACTTTGTAATTAACTTTTATATTTTATTATTCTTTTTTTTTAACATATTGCACATATTTTTTATATATACATTATATTAAATTATTATTATATTATATATTTAACTTATTTACATATTATTATATTTAGTTATTACTTAATAATTTTTATTATATTACAGATTATATATATATTATAAAATTACATTATTATTATGAATATTTATTATTCATTTTTATATATACATATAATAATAATTTTTCGAATTAATTTTTTGCATTTAAGAAAAAAAAAGATTCTAAATTTTTTTTAAAAAAAAAGTTTTATATTATTGTGATAAAATTATTGAATATTTTATATTTTTACGCGAGAGAATTTATGAGATGAAATTATTGAATTTTGAGAATAAAGAGTGTAGTGTTTGGTTTGGGAGGAGAGTAAACGACGTTGTTGTCATCGTCGTCTCCGGATGGGTTAAAACAAGAGAATAGGGTTATTACCTACAATTATTACAATTGGATTATTAAAAATAATTATACATATTTTGAAGAAAACAAAAAAATAAAAAATCTCGTGTTGAAATTAAAAATTTTACTATTTTTTTTTTTTTTTTTGAATTTTCAATAATAATGTACATCATCACTATTTTAAAACTCATCGGTAATTTGTAACTAAATTGTAATGAACATTAATTTTCTTGACGTTCTTTACTTTTTTGATTAGTAATTTTTTTTTTAATTAGGTAAGAGTACTTTTTTATCCGAAATTAATAATATTATTAAATCATTGTTTTGGAGGAAAAAAAAAGTTCTATTTATGCATATTAAATTGACATCTATCACATATTATTACATATATAACATATAATTACATATAATTGCATATATCCATAGTATTGATACATTACTGGTATAGAAATTTTTTGTAAATAAAAAAATGGAACAAAATGGTTTAGACTCCTTTCCTTAAAACGCATTCTTTATATATATATATATATATGAATCTGTGAATCTGGTTCTTTTTTTTAAAAAAATTTTCCGATATTTTTTTTTTTGTGTCCGAATATTATGTGCTACTTTTATGTAACCTTTGTTTTTTTTCACTCCCATTTAATCAGAAAATTTTTTAACCAATCGAGTCGTAGCAATTATAAATAATTATTTAAATCATAATTTTTCCGAGTTATAAATAATAATATTATTTTTAACCAAATGGATAAAAAAAAAATTTCATGTATAAATATAATATGCAAAAGAATGGTATTTAATTTTTGATCGATTTTTCGATTTGTCGATTTTTCAATTTTTTATCGATTATCGAAGGAATCCATTAGGTAATTGCGTTGCATAGTTTCATCACAATAATAATAATAATAATAAGTAAAGTAATAATGATAAATCTAAAAGATCGAAAAACACGTCAGAGTCATATATGTGATTATGTAATCTTAGATAATTTCTCCTTCAGGAATTTTACACACGGAAAATAAAAAATAAATGAAAATCTTATTTAATTTTTTTGATTTAATTTAATAAAAGGATTATATAAACTACTACTTATTTAAAATAGGATTAGCCGAATTAAAAAAAAAATGTATTAAAATTATTAAAATTAGATGGTTTGATCTTTTGCGGATCATTTCCTTTCCATTATATCTTTTTTTTTTTATATCCATCTATCCATTTATGTCTTGGTGCTCAGATCGTCGCGTGGTTTGATTTTTTTTTTAATAGAATACTACGAAAACTTAGGGTGCTTGATGAGAGGATTTACTGGTAACAACACTTGATAATTGTTTTCTTTTCATATAGAAACTATATGTAGTTATTACTCTGGGTCTCGGGCGGGTTAAATCATTTTGCCCAGAAATAATGCTAATATTAGATAAAAATATTATTTAATAGTACCCAAGTCGTACGACGAGACCATGGATACTAGTGATGATTCGTGGAGACAGATACTTTTTGATGATCAAAAGAACTGTTCAAAGAAAAACGTAAGTGAAGTGAAGCAAAAAAAAAAAAATTAAAAATTAAAATTGATGATATATATAAAGATTTTTAAGCAAAGTAAATGTAAAAAGCAAATATATAAAGATTGTTAAGAATAAAGAAGTAAAAAGAAATGTGAAAAAAGATTGATAGTGAATTGAAATTCTTAATTGATGATGGTAAATTGAAAGAGATTTTCTAATTGTGAAAAGATTCAAGGGGAAGATCTTCATTTTGGACCAATGGGAAGGCATATTGATTTCGAAAATACTTGAAGATCATGAAGTTCTAGTTTCGTTGATATTCAATTTCACATTGCTGTTCTTGAATACGTTGTTGCTCTTCTTTAATATTTTTTTTAGCTTTGATAGTTCCAGTCTCGTATGGTCTCGAAGATTTGTTCTTTGAATCTTTTGCTTTGTATTTTTGCGCTTGTTCCTGGACAACGACACCTTACATTCCGCTTTGATGTATATGATGTTCTTATCGATCGGTTTGTTTTAAATTCTTTTTTTCAAGCCAGTTCATTCGCCATTTACCACATTTAACTATCAATTAAAATTGAAATTATCTAATAAAAAGAATTATATTAATATAATAAAAAGAATTATATTAATATAACAAAAAAAAATAATAATAGAAAATTTTCTCTCACTCAATAAATAATGCCAATTACCATTTAACGAAATGTTTACTCTGGGAATTAATTATTAAGTACGTACGAACGGGTTTTTATCCAACCAAATTCTAATTGGGATAATTATTCACTTTTTGTACGTTTATCCCTACTATTGATTTTGATAACAAACACTGACACTTCGTTTATTAAATTTAATTTAGAAAATCGTACTTGTACATCAGAAAAAGATTTCCGATGTTTTTTGATGAAATATTCAAATATTTACAAAGAAAATTAACAACTTTGAACTATCAGTTTCCTTTAATGGTTTTTTTATTTGCGGATGTCTTGGTGGTCGTGAATTTGTTGTTACCCAACTAAATTGATCTTCTTGAATTATATTGACATTGATATAGTTGTTGCCATTAATATTTCATTTAACATTAGTTCACTTCACTTTGATGATGTGAAGATAACTTTGTGAGAATAAAGGAATCAGAGGCATTAATATTTGTTTTTTTATATAAACTCCACATGATATTGAAATAAAAAAAGAATTAATTTTTTATCTCAAACATTATTATATAAAAAATAAAATCAGTAATATTTATTTATTTATTATTTTAAAAGGTATTCAATATGTTTAAAGTAATAGCAAATAACTTCCACATATTAAATCAATATAATATTAAAGTTAACACTTTATTTTACTTAATAAAAATCTTAATTACAAATTATTTATTAAAATAATAAAATGAAAAATATTTATAAAGATAATTTTAAGTACGCTTCACATTTAGAAATCATCAATAAAAAGATAAAAATAATTTAAATTACTATAATTAATCATGAAATAAAAAAATGAATATAATTTGATACTTACTCAAAAGTTATACGATAAAAAGCTTCTGTCGAATCTTCATTTACAGATGATTTTGGAAGATTTGAAAAATTGAGAAGTGTTGTTTCCTGATTTTGGAAAATCCTTCAGACTTAATTAATTTGAATTGTAATTTTTTTATTATTTTATATTTATAATCTAAATATTATTTTATCAATTAATAATCATACAACAAGAACAAATAGAACAAGAACCAAAATGTTATATTAATTTAATAACTGAAATTCCAAACAAAATCATTTTAAACCATATTGATTACAAAAAAGTAACAAATTAATTACTGTTAATAAGGCTATAATGTTTCAATAATATTTTAAGAATACAAAATGTACGTAATTGATTCAAGCTAATATATAGATTAGGTATAAATTACAAGTTCTATTG